TAAACATTTTAAAGGGATGCTCCAGCAATTTAATAACATGCTAACTTTATTAGCACAAACCTATGGCATTTTACATTGTATAAATTAGCCTAGCGACAAGCAGAGATTTCCTCTTCCCATATCAAGCCAGGATAAATCACACACAAGTCTTAAAATGCTATTTTAGTGGAGGCTTTATTGTCTTTAATTTAGGTGGAAAAAGGTTTAAGAAAGTCTTACTCTAACTTATGTGCTTGCAGAGTCCCAGTCGAATCACTCAGGCCATTCAGACAGTGGAGTTGACACAGGCTCTTCTCACGGTCGGTCCCAGAGTGTGGTGAGCTCCATCTTTTCTGAGGCCTGGAAGAGAGGCACCCAGATCGAGGAAAGCTCCAAGGTATGACTGTCTTCTTTTATGATTATCTGTAACAGAGTGTGTCATTTACATCACTGAGCTCACACACTCCCTCTTTTTCCAGCATATGAGAATGGAGGCATCCAGAGGAGCCACGCTGCCGCATTCCTCCCACAGTCACCGCCATCACAGCCAGCATTCAGTCGATCACTCTGCCCTGACGCCCCCTCCCCAACCGCAGCCCCAACCCCACCAACAGCACCCCCCACAGCCTCAGCACCCACCAGTGCCCCCCCAGACGCCAACCCAGCCACACCACCAGCACCCGCCGCCCCAGCAGCAGTCTCCTCAGCAGCCCCCTCAGCCCCCGCCCCAGTATCCACAGCGCCCTCAGCAGTCGCCACAGTCGCCACAGTCTCCGCAGCAGCCGCTACCACCGCAGACCGTCAGCAACTGCAACCACATGCCCCCAGAGCAGCAACAGCTGGCTCCTCCGCCCCCACCTCCTCCTCCGCCGCCTCCCCCTCCGCCTCCACCCCCGGTCCAAATGGTGTCACACCACTCACCGGCCCCCACCATGTACAAGTACAGCACCATCACCAGGCTGCAGAACCAGAAGGCGTCCCAGTCGGCCAACCACCACAGGTTGCCCAGTCACATCCACGCACTAGGTCAGCAAGTTCTGCCCACAGCTCCGGCACCACCTGCACAGGCGCCCGTCAAACCCAATGTGAATCACATTGCGGCAAGGACTAATGTCCCGCCTCCCCCTCCACCTCCTCCCCCGCCTCCACCATCCATGCCCACCCCTGGGTCAGCCATGGCTGTGTTGAAGCTGGGACCTCCCAGCCCAGCAGCCCCACCTGCCTTCATTCCTCCACCGCCAGCTCCTCCACCGGCTCCACAGACCAATGGCGTAACATTTCCTCCCCCTCCTTCTCCTCCACCACCCCCTCCTGCACCAGCTCCCATGAGCCAGCCTGTGTACTCCTACGGGCTGAAGCAGGCGCTGAAGGAAAGGTTCCCCAGCCCGCCACGCGACCTCCTTTCTCCCAATGGTGGCCTTGAGGAGTCCCCTCCGCCTGCCCCCGCTCCACCACCCCCACCTCCTCCTCCTCCACCTCCACCACCACCTCCACCTCCTCCCCAGCAGTTCCCAGTGCCAGCCCAGTTCCCACCTCCTCCTGCGCCACCACCAGCGCCGCCCAAAACCTTCACTCCAGGCTTCCTCCCTCAAACTGCCCCCAAACCTGTGTCACCTGTCTCCCCATTTCCTCCCGCCCCACCTCCTGCTGCCCTTGGTGGCCCGACCCCGCCACCACCTCCACCTCCTCCTCCACCTGCACCTTTTAAGAAGCAGTTCAGTCTCCAGGTAGGCCACACCTCCGGCCAACCTCCTCCGACTCTCCCCAAGCAGCACAGCCTCTCTAAGCCAACGTCCGTCTCCACGGGAGCAGCTCCCACCATGTCACTGGTGAAACAACTAGCGAGTCAGTTTCCAGGAGCGTCATCCCAAGTAGCCAATCACACAGAGAGCCTCAAAGCCCCCCTCTCCCCACCCGCAGTCAAGACCAAACCAAAATGGCAGCCTGGTGGTGGCCAGCAGCTGCAGTCTCCAGAGTTCCCTCCTCCTCCTCCTGACAACAACGCTGGCTTCCCTGCCCCTCCTCCTCCACCTCCTCCTCCACCACCTCCACCAGCTCCTGTTACAGGCCCAACCCCACCCCCTCCCCCCCTTCCTCCTGGAAACCTGGGATCCCCCTTAAAGAGGTCACCCTCTGGGTCCTCCAATTTTGGAGGCAAGAAACCGCCTCCCACCCCGCAGAGGAACTCCAGCATCAAGTTCAATTCCTCAGCATCGTATGAAGAATCCAGGAGGAACTTGCTCAGCAAGTTTGGTTCCCAGAACAGCGCCCCTTCTTCCTCTTCGTGTCCCACCTCCTCCTCAACTGGATCCCCTTCTAAGGATCCATCAAACGGACCCCCTGCTCCCCCGAAACCAGGCAAACTCAACCTGTCCAACCTGCCCCTGGCGCTGCAGGCCAAAGTGAGCCAAGTAAAAATCAGTGGTGACTTCCCTTCCCCACCACCTGAGTGCGCCTACTTTCCACCTCCTCCCCCGGCCTCTGAGCTCTTCCCCCCTCCTCCACCTCCTGGTGGTGACACCCAAAGCGTGGGACCTCCTAGAGTAGCTGTGGTCAACCCCCAGCCCCAGGCTCCCCCTCCACCTCCACCTGTCCCCCCTGTCAGCATCTCATCATGGGGGAAGAGCTCACTGAAAAAGACTCCTCCACCCACACTGGTGCGGCGTAGCAACACCACCCCGGAGCCCCCTCCAATATCCCCACCTCCTCCCACCTCCCCAAAGTGCAGCTCAGGCCAGCCCAACTTCCTGGCAGATCTCAACCGGACACTGAAGCGAAAGTCAGTGGGTCGCCAAGGTTCCCTCAACTCGACCGGCATCACAGGCAAGTTGGACCCCGCGGGAACTATGGACGACATGGCGCTGCCTCCGCCACCCCCCGAGCTGCTCCTGGACCAAGGAAAGCAAAGCAACGGAGGGAATGGCGCCTACACGTCCGGAAACATCTCAGGCTATGCAACACTACGACGAGGACCCCCGCCTGCACCACCCAAACGGGGGGACGCCACCAAACTTACTGGAGAGTGTTGAACTCGGACATCAGGACATTATAAAGACGGATGAATAGACAGTGAACAAATATATGGAAGTTAACATTCAGTAGTGGAACGGGAGTGAACTCCTTCTGTCCTCTTGATGACTGTGTAAATACTACAACCCAAACCAGACCATGGTCAATTAGTGTTTGCTAATTATCGCAGTTTTTTAAGGTGCTCGGCATTCTGGATCAGTGGGATTTATAATACAGGGACAACTCAGACCGGCGCAGGGAAGTTTGAGGTCATAGCAAGAAAACGGTCTTCGAATTTTCTGCGATTGTCTCTGGAAGACATTGTCTCACCCTGTATGGTAAACCCCACTCATCTGGTGCACCAAGCAGATTGACATAAATAAGAACTGTGCAAATATTACTGGATCCAGGTCTGAGCCAAACCACGTTAACCGCTTCTTTGCCATAAGTTTGTGCCACGTACTGGAGACAAAACATCAGGATCTTTCTGCTTTGGTACTGCATGGACTTCATGTGAGAACGAGCTGTAGAACATGAAGCTGTTCTGGTGTGTGTGCATGAGCGAGAGAGAGATTGGGTACATGCATCGTGTGCACGTATGTATGATTATACGGTGGTGAAGTAGTTCAGCGTTAGAGAAGGCCTTCGTGGAGCGGGGACTGTTAGGTTTGCTTTTATATGAAACTATTTAATGATCGATAAATGGAAGGATTTTTTTTTTTATAAGTGTGTCTTTTAATAGCTGGTCAACAAAGTCTAGAGAGGAACAAAACTTTTGGGCACAATGGAATGTATATGGGAAGGTGTAATTTTAAAGAAGTCACACATGAAGGCAATTCAATTTTCAAATCGTACACATTTTTCGACTGTTTTGGGCAAATGCAAATCAGAAGGAAGCCTTATCCCCAAAGTCTTGCACAGAGGTCAAAGTATAGAGATTTCTTCCAAAGGTTCAGCAGAGTCTGGACTGTGCAACTGGAAAACTTTTATTTCAAGGACTACAAATGGAGGCCTGCGATGGTGCATCTTCGTGGACTGTGCGAGCTCCCCGTGCGTTGGCTTGATTCTTGGACCTTATCCTTCAGTTTGTATCTGTACAGTTGCAACTGCTACTCCGTTACTGTCGGTCCCCGCCGCCTTCCAATGTCACATCACAATTCAGGTCGTAGAATGTACAGGTTCAGTCATGTAAAGTATACTTACCCACGCAGAAAAGAAACATGTGTCTGGTTAATGTACAGAGCGTTGAATCATGTAACAGAACTCATGTGACTGAATGTTGCTTTCAACTTCCTGTGTCTGTTGTTCCTCGTTTCGTCATGGTGCCGTCGGTGCACAGGGACTGAAGGTCATCTCTTGATTTTGCATCTACAAAGTGGATCATGAAGGGTTTTAATTTCTTGCAGCAATGCCTTCATTTTTATGGTGCTAGTGCTGTCCTTCAAGGAACTCATCATCAACATGTCTTCATGTGCCAGGATGACATATCATTGAGATTTCAAACCGTTTCAACTGGTTTTAAATTGGCTTCAGTGTGGAAATGCGTCCTCTCATCATGAACACGGCCTTTTCCACACGAGCCCCCATGATTTTGTTTTGTCTTACTCGATCGCCACTTGACGGCAGCGTACCGTTTCTAATAACTGAATATCATCGTCTTGAACAGGATGTTTGCTACAGTACAGTATGTAAGTTATTGATGTGCTGATGTGAACACGTGGGGCCAAGTGACATGAAGAAAAATGGTTGCAGATGTGTCCTCTTGCATATAAACTGAAAAATCACAATATAAATGTTGAAACCAGACCTCAAGCTGTGTCCGACCTCGTTTGTTCAAATCACACATGCACACTGAACCTTGGTGCCACAGTCCAAGTACAAATTATCGAAGTGGGAACACTGTCAGTGAACATTTGGCTCCCTCTAGTGGTGTTATCATGTCCTACACAAAGGAAAAACTACAGTAACAAAGCATTCCTAATTAAATACCATTTAAAAAAATGACAAGAATCACAGTGTTCAAACTCCATCTTTAATTCAAGTTTGTCTTCTGATCAGCACCTAAATGTTCCCAGACTGAGCTGAGATTTCACACCAGGAAGTTGGTGAAAGTGTCTCCTCTTTGCCGCTCCTCCGCCATCTGGAGGGAGAAGCCACGCTGGACGGGTGGAGATGTTGGAGGTGGTGCAGGAGCAGGGTCTGTTGGAAGGAAGGTTGGAAGGCAACAGTGATCATTTTCTTTATTTTAACTCTTTAGTAGGTGATTGTACTGCACTGGTGCTTACCTCTATTTACAAATGGGATGTTGAAGTGCTGTCTCCCTCTTGAGAACTTTTGTGGGAACAAAGGTGATGTTATTCACATGCACTGTTGTTAAAAAAATGAATATATAAAAATGACAACCCCTTCTTGTCCGTGTCCTCACCTCCTCACTGGACTCTGAGCTGGAGCTCGAAGCGTCACGGCCACATCTGAGAGACAGCACCTGGGTTGTTGTGGCTGTCATTCGGACCCGACTGGAGCAGGACAAGGTCGGCTGATGTGAAGGCGGAGAAATGAGGGAAGGATGGTGTTTTTTAATCTTCTGTATCATGTAAATATTTTGTCACTGATTCGATCTGAACACTCTGACCCAGTAAATCTGAGCCAATGTAAACAGTGGGCTGCATCAATCTGCCAACATGAGTCCTACTCAGAATTGAGAAACAAGGCCTTCACAGTGTCCCACAGCAGCGTGCAGGTACACTGAAATATTTATCAGTCCAGATTCTGGCTGATACCCCAACTCAGACCACAACAAACCATCATAACATTCACCCCTGATGACGTTAAAAGTCTCACCACAAAGAAGCCAGGTCTGAAGGCACATGTCTGGGGGTCACTTCTGGATGCCTTCGCGCACTCTGTCTCTTTGATGCCAAAGACCATCATCAGGTCAGCGGTGTTCAGGCCAACAGGAATAACCTGCCATGCATGTGATATTAGTCATTTGTCAAAAATAGAAAAGTATAACAATCAAAATGCGTTTTAAGCACTCACGAAGCAGAATCACCGATTTTTTTAAAATTCTAATTATTTCACACGCTGCGGGGTCATTTTATGTGTCAATAATCTAGATCTGTAAAGTAACTGAAGCTTTAAAATAAATGTAGTGTTGTAAAAAGTACAATAATCCTACAGAAAATGCGTGTGAATGCTGAAAGCTGGAATGAATTCAAAAGCATTGCTGAAATTGCTGAAATACTTTTTTTTTTAAAAAATGTCGATCTGACGATCTGAAAATCTGGCAGAGACAGAAGCTGAACTGCGTTATCTGAAGAAGCAAAGAGCTGAAATACATTTGTTCAGTGTTAAGCATTTCTTATCTTAGCCTTTTCAGTTCATTTCAGCTTCCACTTTTGACACTTTCGCAATTAAGCACCCAACTTTTTTGCTGAATGTATTTCAACTCTTCTTCTTCAGCAATGTTTTGAATTCATGTCAGCTTTCAGCATTCACACGCATTTCAAAAGTGTGCAGAAGCAATTGTTGATCAAAGTACGGAGATAAAACGAGACTGAAGTATAGTGAAGTACTGAAAATTTGAAAAAGCTTTTCCCATTCAGGAGCTTTGATTTCAAGCCTGGTACAATGGCTGTTGTACATAAATATATTTTGAAGAGTATGAGCAGACTCACCCTCGAGACAGAGCCCCGAGTCACCCGGTAAAGATGGCTGACAGCGTACACAGAGTTGACCTCAGTCAGAGCTGCTCCAAGACCCCTGTTCGCCATTGACTCCAGCTCAGAGTTGTACACTGGGACTCCTGCGGGGACAAAGACGTGAAGAAAGTCAGCTACTGTATCCACTCATAAAGTGATCACTGTAGGGCAGCACTCACCTGAGCATCCCAGAGCCTGCAGCAGGGCCAAGAGAAGCACGTAGGACTTCATCTTGTCTAGCACCACGAAGCCAAAATGTATCATTCCTTCATCTACCTGCCTCTAAATATGTTCAGTTTGTGTCCTAGCACCGCCATGCGCCGCCCCTTACCCTCAATAACCCCTTTAAAAACTCCCTCCCCTGTCTGTCTGTCTGTCCTGTTTCCTTCACGCAATAGCTGTCAACCTTTGTTCAGCACTATTGATCTCAGGGTGATGCCCCGGATGAAATGAGCACTGTGATAAGAATTCAGATCTGATAACTTTGACTCAGAACATCCCAATGTGATATGATGAGGGCAGTCGGGAAAATCTGTATGAAATCTTTTGTTTGGGAATGGTAGGCCCACCAAAACTTCCCCTCAGCCCACAGATTAATAATGAATTTATCAAATTTTAGGAGAAAAACGCTTATAGAAACATTGTGTGCAATAGTCCACCTTCCACCTTCTGTTTCTCTCCTTCAAACACACACAGGCTGTGTCCTTGTCTCAGTCCTGACAGTTGTGCTGCTATCATACATAATGCTGAGATTTCCTTTTATTTACTTTTAATTTACCATCAAAATAATTCTAATATAACTACTTAAAAACATTTTTTATTCAGCTACTAAACAATGATTCCTTTAAATATATTTTTATTTGAACGTCAGGCCCCCACAATGTCTGCTTAGAACATCTTTGGCCCTTGGACAAATGTACCTGATGACCCCTGGTCTAGTTTAAACACTGCAGGAGGGGATACATTTTGTAATCTGGAGCTCCACAGGGTTAATTGGGGTTAAAATTTGTTGTTGGCATATCTACAAAAGTATTAGGAGGTTTTTTTTGCATAATTTGTTACATAAAAACATGATTTTTTTCCTCATCACTTTACATTTTTTGCTCTATTGCTCCACCAAGTGGCTTTATTGACGTGGAATATAATTTACAAGCACAATTTCTCACCACAACAGTGTTATATCTTGAATAATGGTAATATTTTATATCAGAATAAGAGTGCTTTTCTAAAGAGCTGGTTAGACAGAAACATATTTTGGGTGAGTCAACTGATTATCCCACAGGGTCGTCCTGTGAACCTCAATGACTTCACTTCTCATTTGGATTATACACAAGTTTTATCCACCAACCAGCAGAGCATTTTCTGAAGAAATTTAAAGGTAGTATTGATGTAAAATTTTCTGTTTGCTCAACTCATCCAGAAACCGTGCCCCATCTTTTCTAATATTGTAATATACTCTGGAATATTATGGAAAGATGTTTCCAAATTACTGACATTGTATATAGCATTATTTTAAGAGTATGTTATATTCAGGAAATTTGAGGAACAGATATATATATATATATCATAACTCTACTGATTATTCTCGCCAAATGTATATACACAGGTGTACATTTACAAACAAAAGGCCCGTTTTTACTGTGTTTTACAAATATTTTTAAAAATACACAAATACTATTAAATTGCGTACCAGTAAAAAGGCCATAAAAACTGTACTGGCATGTATTAAATGTAAAATATGTAAATGAAATGTGATCTGTTGTGAAAGAACTGTTCTCTTGGAATAATCTTTGGATTTTAGACTGGATAAAAAAACGACACTTGTTTTCCATCTGTGATTCTTAAATAGTCTGTACTGTTACAGATGTGCCTTTACTTTCTTTCCTTTTTATTATTTATTCAACCTAAAAACCCCTTGGCTTGTTTTTTTGCACTGCGGTTAATGTCACAGTCAAAATGAGTGTGTCAAAAAAAAGTGCAGTTTGTTCCTTGAAATTAAATAAATACATAATGAGAACAAAAAGAAAAAGAAAAATTAAGAAAATGAATTATCATTTTGGCGGTCGCCATCTTGGAATTCTGGAGCCGGAAGTGACCATACTTGGACGAGATTTGACTGAGGCAGCACGAGGACACGCCCACCTACACCGGCAACCTGACTGAACGCTGCACCCGGCACTGACGTGCTAATTAATTAACAAAGCTAGCTTCCATAATTCGAGGTAAACTTTATATTTTTAAAGTATTAAAATAATCTAAGTGACGTTAGCTAATAACAAACATGTCCACATTTGGCAAATATTACATATAAGAGGAGTAACGTTAACCTTGTAACGTTATTGTAGCGTTAGCTTAAGTTACCGTTACAGTGTGTGGTTAGCATAACTGCAGTAATGCTGTGTTTAACCGTTACATTAGGCGTCTTGGTGTGCTGATAGCTCAAAAACCAGCACATGAAACTTAGCTTATTTAACTCAGTTAACGTTACACCATAAAAATTATTATTGATTAATGTGTATTATTCCCCCAGATAAAGAGAGTAACGTTACAGTTCAACGTTTAGTGAGAGGCTATTTTTTGCACGCAGGTCCTTTTCATTTCAGTGTTGACAGCTGTCAAAAATATGCGTATAAATGATTCTTTCTTTCTCTGTCAGAAAAGATCATCTTCTCTGGCTCTTTATGTCACGGTCGTTGCCAGCACGTTACAAACTGCCGCTAACTGGCGCGTATCATACCACCATGACGGATGTCTCTCTGCGTCCGACACTGACAAAGCAGCAGCATTTGACGACTTAGGTTTCTGCCACTGCCTCTGAAACCGACACATCTGGTGAGTATCATACCGCCACGAAAGGTACCTCACTGATAAGAATCAAACCTTCTACCTCAGGTTCTCCAGGCAGCCATTTTACAGCCTGAGCTAGTCCACCTCACACTGCATGTGATTTTTAATGGAGCCTCTCACTCTCTCCATTGGACAGGGGCCATCTTTGAGATTGAAGCTCCGCCGCTGATTTAGCAGCCTCTTAATTCACTTAAGGCCTGAACATTAAGCTTTTAATTAGTTTAAATCGATAAATACAATGTGGTCAGACTTTAGTAATGTATCAGTGTGGTGGGATAAATTCAGCTTAATTATTTCAGCTCCAGTGTGAATATTTGCTGCTATTCTTAATGCACTAAGTCGAGAAACTACATCAGTGCAACATCCTCTTCCTCCCATCATATCTTTATTACATTCATCATCAATATCAAAAATACTTCACATTTTGGGCATGAAGAGAATTCTAGTTCTTGTAAACAATAAATATGTTTCAGTTCAGTCCTGATACATTTTTCAAGATTATTCAGCTGTCTGTCATTTGTTCCCCTTCAGCCGTTTTTACCGTATTAAATATATGTTTTTATACTACTATCAAAGGAATGTGTCCTGTAAAAATGCGGTAACAGCATTTCAGAGGATAACCAAGTATTTACAAACACAACTCTAACAGAAAGAAACACTTTCCTGTCGCTGGAATATGAGGCAAGGCAAAAATCAGATATGCCTAGACAAACTCAGATTCTATCTGTACCTGATTTAACCGTGAAAATCAAAGTAAAGGTGCTCAGTGTCAATAACTACTTTCCCTTTAACTGTACATGCACACACACTCAAAGAGTCCTCCTCATCGTTCAAGTGTTCCCATCAGAGGCTCCACAGCAGCGAGGAAGCTGGCCTCAAACTCCTGATCTGAAAAGCGAGCCACGGACTGACGTGCTTTGCGTCTGATGTCCATCCGGCTGGCGGGCGGCAGCGCCAGGATCTTCTCTATGGCCTCCGCATAACTGTCCTCATCATCAGCCAGGAAGCCCGTCTGGTTTCCCTCGAAAGGTACCACAATGTCCAGCTTGGGACCGCCGGACTTGTGTGCCAGAATGACCTTCCCTGCTGCCATACACTCCACCACACCTACAGGGAGGAGGAGAAGAAGAACTTTTCATATCACAGACATTAAACTACACAATCTGAACATGAGCTCGCATTAATTACCTATTCCAAAGTGTTCATTCCACATGGTATGCAGCCCGATGGTGGCGTCTCCCATGTCTCTCTTCAGCTCGTCAAAGGGTATGTTCAGTTTAAACTCCACCCTGTCGGCCACACCCAGCTCCTGGCACAGCCCCCTCAACATGAGCACCCTATCCTCATCCTCCTGGTTCCTGCATCCACCGATCAGAACCAGCTTCAGCGCCTCCCCCGCCCTCCTCCTGTCCACCACCTTCTTGAAGGCTCTGATCTGCAGCCGGTGGTCCTTCTCCGGCCTGAACTGCCCGATGGAAACGATCGAGTGGCACTTCCTGTCCCCGTCCTCCTCCAGAGGGATGTCCAAGAACGCGCTGACGTCGCAGGGCGGGTAGACCACACAGGTGCGGTTGGGGGCGCGCCACAGCGACAGGATGTGATCGAGGGTCCAGGAGGAGTTGACCATAATGAGGTCGCTGCAGGAGCCGGCCATGCCATAGAGCAGGGCGAACAGGCAGTAGTAGACCACCTTGAAGGCACTCAGGAACAGACTGTTGGAGACGTAGTCTGGGTTGTTGAACCTAGGACAGTATTATTTCAGCAGGTTTTAGTTAGGAATCAAATGGCTAATCTATTCTGTGTGCGTGTAGGATATTGAAAAAAACTTATAAGTTCTTACCTGGGGTTCCTCTCTCTCACTACAGACAGCATGTCAGTGCTGATGGTTGGGTAGTGAACGTAGCTCCCCACGCTGCAGCCCCCCAAGTAGCGGAACAGAGGCAGTGTGAAGGCGTAGCCCATGGAGTCGATGTAAAGGTCCGGGACGAACTCCGTCAGCGCCTCCCAACCCAGGAAGACGGAGCCCACGCTCTGTCCCAGCAGGGTGAAATGAGGAAACAAACCGGGCTCCACGAGCAGCCGGTGCCTCATGTACACAAAGTGAACCGGGCGGGGGAGCACGATGTTAAAGCGGCGTCGTGCCCCCTCCAGGATCTGCTGACCCGTAACACCCAGGTCCCCCGTGTACACCACAAAGTTGATGTCCACGTACCTGTGCAGATGTGCAGGTAAGCACAAGGTATTTTGATGCCATTAGTTAATACCTATGCCTTGTAAAACTTCCCAGGAATGCTGCGATAAAAGACAGTTATGTATAGACTGTGACTAAATATCAGAAAATGTAGTAAATGAGTAACAAGTAAGCACACAAGCTGGGGAAAGTGGACACACTACACTGTACACACAAAAACCTGATGGAATGAATAAAATCAGCTTCACCTGTTCTGCAGCGCCCTGATAGCACACCAGAGCACTCTCTCTCCCCCACCAC